CGTGTAACTTGAAGATAAGCCATGGACGCGGAGTAACATTGCCTCAGCGCACCAGAGCGCTAGCTACTCGGTCATTCAGGCCCTTTTAGCAAAGAATTTGCATTCAATTTTGTTGGCGGGAGCGTATAGAATGTTGCAGAAGGCATTCGGTGAGCAATCCTATACCGGAAAGAAATGTTTGCAAGTGGTATAAACAGTTCAAAGAAGGCAGAGAACGCGTTGTAGACGAATAGTGCTCTGGCGACCTTCAACCTCAACCGACGAAGCTCACGTCCAAAACATTAAATATTCGGTACTTGCAAACCGTCGATTTGCAATTAAAAGACCTTGCTGATGATGTTAGAATTTCAAAAGGATCGGTCAATTCCATTTTGGGCCTCAGATGCGTCAAATCTCGATAGGTACCGAAAACACTGAATGCGCCAGCTCACACGGCATTGATTCTTCGTGACTCTTTCGCCGAACATGAAACTCATATCGTTTCACAAATACCGTATTCACCCCGTGCGACTTCTGGCTATTCCCTAAACTCAGAAGACCACTATCGGGACACCGTTTTGAGTCGATTGAAGAGATTCAACGTGAATCGCCGAACGCTGGAAAGGCCATCCCTGCCGATGACTTTTTAGCGTGCATTGAGAATTGGAAAAAAAGTAATAATAAGTGCATTGTGTCCGGAGGCGATTACTTTGAAGGCGATAAAATATATTTTGAAGAATAAATAAAGAGCTTTTGAGAAAAAATAATTGGTCTTACTTTTTGGGCTCACTAGTATCATATTTTTGCTCTTTGTCAACTAATATCTCAGCCAACAATAGAGTTGAATTGGAAAATGAAAAAACATCTATAGTGAAATAAAATACTCCATCTTTGCCTAGGAGAAAAATCTTGTTTCTGGGTCTTCCGGTTCGGTGAACGACCATCCGCCCTTCGTACGATTTCCTTTTTGGAAAGAAAGAAATTGAAAAAATAAGAATAAAACTGATTCTGGTTTTTACGGTTGATGCTCTAATTTCGAATCCTAGTTTAGTTTTTTCCATCTAGTCTGTGGAATGATGATAGTCCTTCGACGGATGCTATCCTAAATTCTTTACTTCGTTTTCCGAACAAAGAGTACAAAAACCACCACCAAATAAATTAAACTCTGTTCCAGAAGGGAAAGTTACAAATAACTTTCTATTTGCGCTGCTGCAAATCTTTGCACTAGTTATTATTATTATGGCAATTGTAGCTCGCTTTCTACAATAGATAGGGGGAATTATTTTCTATTCAAGAATTTGAATTTACATCTATTACCTATGGTGAATGAAAAAAGATGTTAGCCTTTTTTGAAATATTTGAATCTTTCGCAAAGTACTAAATGGGTGGCTTAAGAAATGCGGTTTTTTAAATGAATAACTTGTTATAAGAATTTATTTTAAAGCCCTTGAAATTTATAACATTTTCACAAAATATTTTTATTTGATAATATCCAAATTAGACAAAAGCAATGTATTAAATAAATACATTATGTGTGCATCCATATATTCAAAAATTAACTGTCGAAATGAGTTGTCTAATTTAGAGTTAGACAAATATTAAAATTAATTAGTTAGCCTAAATAGAGTTAATTAAAATTTGTGAAATATATTCATCTCCCTTACAGGTTGAAATCGAGTCGGCTTCAGAATTTTTTGGAACTGGTCGACTTACAATGCAGTATTGAATTAAAACACATTTTTGAAAGATCTGAATCAAAAATAGATTTTTATGACACTTACGTCACAGAAGAATTATTTTTCACTTTGAGAAATCGGGCACAAAAAGTTGTTAGAGCTTTTGTTTAAACTTATACCTGCAAATCGTGTATTTCGAAAATAAAATTGACCCAACACAAAACACGCTGAAGCATAACGGACGCTTTGTGTACATGTAAGAATAACAGCAACTATAACTCATTATGCTAATAATTTTTTACTCCAAATAAATGTCTACAGGGGATCTAAATGTAATATGGGATTTATAATTTTATGTGCGGCCCGCGGAGTTAGGATGCATTTTCAAGTGGCCCTCAAAGTCATTTGGATTGGCCACCCCTGGGATAGACATTTGATAAAATTAAAAAAAAATATTATTAAGAGACTTAATTAGAGATATTTTAAAGAGAGAATTACTAAAGATATTTTGTAGATAATATTTTATCTTATAGAATATTTCGAGATTATTGTAATTCATTAGAGATAGTACGTTGAGATATTTATTGATGAAATAGTTTAATTATTTGTTCAGAAATAAATATTTATAATTTAAATTGGGGTTATTTTAGTGAAGCCCCATTTATTTCCTTTTACATTTTTAAGACGTTCTTCGAGCTTTCCTGCATTATTTTGAATCTTTCGCAAAGTACAAAATGGGTTGTTTAAGAAATGCACGCGAAATGTGTTTGGTTTTAAAAAGAATAATTGTAGAAAGAAGAACGTTTTATTGAGCACAGCCATCTGCTCCATTTCTAATGCGACAAGAGATTTATTTTCAATCAAATCCTTGCTGGATTCGCACATTTTGTGTTTTGACTAAAAATATGTAGACAGACTGTGTTTGAAGAAAGAGAAAATAAACATAGTTGTTTCGGGTTTGAACAATTCTCGATTTATTATTAAATCAAGGGTTGCTTCATCTAGTAGCAATAAAGAAAGAAGATTCACTCGTGAATTGGATTTTATAGTAGTTTCAAAGATCTCAGAAGATTTAATTCCATCAAACAAAATCGAAATAAACGAAGATGATTTATGTAATATTTAATTTGGCTGATAAAAATTTATTGTTCCTGAGCGCATTCAAATGCTTTTGGCAGCAGAAGTATTTTATTATTTACTTAAGCCAGGTCAGTTAAGGATGAAAAATTCGAATCATTTTTCAAAATAGTGTGTTCGGCTTCGTGGTGTCTAGGTGCAGCATGGCTGCGGAGCTGCGGCTAACGTAAATAACGGATCGTTGTGGACTATCCACAAGTGACTTTGATTGTACAACGAGGAAACTTTAAGGAACTCGAAGCAGTGTAATCCTATGCAATAAAGAATAGCGAAGCATTTATTTGTGAATAATATTTTCAGAAACATTACAAGAGATATGAGTTGGGAAGATATATAGTAACCATTCCTCTTACAGAAAATTCTTTGTATTTGGGAAAGTTCTCAGCAAATTGCTCTTCAGAGATTGAATTCCTTATGGAAAACTATTTGGCAGCTGTATTAGAAAGAAAAAAAGTACATAAAATTGAATAAAAGAAAGGATTAATTCTACAAACTGTAATATTATAACAAATAATTAACTATGGGAATAACAATTGTGTTTAAAAATTAAAATATCTCTAATAAATCAACATTATTTGTTTTGTTTTAAAAATCTACTAGTCAATAACTCTACAATCTACAAGTATAATGCTCACATTAACTAATAACAAACATACGCATTTTAGTATTTTCTTGAAATATATTCCCGTGTGTCTACGTAAACTCCATTAATACGACCTCAAAATTAATCCCAAGGAAAGAATCGTAAATATTTTTGAAAAACAATCTTCACCGCTTCTTTACTTTTGCAGTTTCGTTGCCATTAGAATTCTTTCGTTAGTGAATTTATGCGACTTATCCAATCACAGAAATCTTAAAAGTTGCCTTCCGAGAAAGAAATCAAAACTTCCACTTAACGGATCAAATATAAATAATTTTATTTCAGTTAACCTTCAGCAAATGAAACGTACGCGATTCCCCGTTTTAATTAAACAATCCCAGAAGAACATCTGGAGTCGCTGACGCAAGTGGAGGCCGTAATCCCTGGAGTCCTACTCTCACTAATTAGCTGTGCCTAAATACCGTGTACCTATTCGTGTATGTCAGTGTACCGACTCTTTTTAAGATGATATGGCTTTAATTAAAGCTTTGGCGAATTAAAATAAATATTTATTTCTAATTGCCCAAGGTAATTGGAGACCTTTGTGGAGGACAATTATGAATGCTATGCAAAGAACGGTGGCATCGATAACACTGCTTCGCATTTCTTTGCTTTTATTTTCATTTAATTGATTTACAAAAGTTGATTAGCTATAATGATAAAAACTTAAGCAAAACCTTTTTCGGGAAATTTGCGACAAACTTTAGCTAATAACGTTTATATGTTAATCAATTATATTAAAATTTAATATTAAGAATGAAGTAATTAAGAAATTTTTCAGAACTGTTTTAATTGTACTAAAGTAAACAGTGACGGAATTGAAAGAAAACTGCCGTGTATTTCATTGCTTTAAGCTTCATTTAATTGAATTGTAAATATTAGAAAGATGACTGTAATTGAGATCTTTTAAAAGCATTTTCCATTAAATTTTTGGCATATTTTTTGTTAATAAGACTTTTTAATAAACAATTATATTACAATTTTATTTTTTTTCTAATAATAAAATATTTAATGTAATTTGCACTGATTTTTTTTTATTGTTTTAAAGTAAATAGTCTATTAATTGAGAAACATTTGTAATGTTTTCATAGAAAAATTTTATAAATAATTAATTCCTTTCAACAAATCTCTAATAATGTCGCTTTTAAATTACAAACTATTTTCAGAAATGTGAAGTTTTCTGATGTAACTAAAAAAATGTTGATTGTCAATAATTGTGCTTGTGTCGAAAAATGTATTAATTAAAAATAATTTTTAGAATACTTGCTTTTGGATCTAATGAACGTTAACTTTATTTATTTTTATTTTATTGAAATTTATATAGCCCCTTTTGTATATCCATGATTCATTTAAAGAAATTCATTTAATGTAAAAAACTAATTCAGGGGTGTCTACCCAAATGATCTTGTGGGCCACTTTGGAAAGGCATCCTAACTCCGCGTTCCGCATATAAAAAGATTTAAACCCACTATAGACATTTTTTGGAGTGAAAAATTGAAAAATAATGAGTTATTATTATTGTGTTTACCATTATTATTACATATAATCATAGATAATATAAAGCCAACGGCCATACCATGCTGAATCTCGTTGGATCACCAAAGTCAAGCATCATTGGGCGCGGTCAGTACTTGGGTGGGTGACCACCTGGGAACACCGCGTGCCGTTGGCATTCACAAATTTGGGACCTGAATGGCCGAGTGTCTAGCGCTCTGGCGCTCGGTGCCACAGGTTTCGGGTTCGAATCCCGGCGGTGCCATGGATGTTTGTAGTTGTTCGGAATCCACTTTAAGCCGTAGGTCCCGGACTCTTATGACTGTAAGAGAGTTACGGAGCAGAAATCAGACTTCTACCTACGGGTGCTCCATCAGAACAGAAGCAGCACCCCTCTCCCCTCCTTCCGTGAGGGACACGACAACAACAACATAGATAATATAATAATAATGATACTGAACGCACGTTGTAAAGAAATATGTAACACTCAAAATGAATTACAGAAAAATATCTAAATATAAATGAAATAAAAAGTGGAAATCATTAAAAAAAAAAATATTTTAAAAGAAACCAAAAAGAAACTTTCTTTTGAATCTAAGAGACCCGGTTTGCTCTGCTAGCAACAATCAGCTCATTAATGTAAACTCATAAATAAAACAGGCAATATCTGTCATAATTTCGCAAGAGTATTATTTTAAAATCAAATTTAATTTTTACTCATCATTTCGACAATTCATTTTGGAATATAGGGATGATCACATAATGTACTGTTTTAATACATTGGTTTATCCAACTTTGGCCATTATACAATAAATATATTTTGTAAAAGTATGATATATATTATAGATCGAATAATGTTCAATGTTGGCCCCCCCTACTCTATATGCTTATAAAAGTTGTATATCTAATGTAATGAATTAAGGCGTGACCCAATCTTCAAATATATATAATTTTGTTATATGTGAGAAATATAAAGCGAAATTTATTACAACAACATGCGCAATAAGAAAAAGTAAATGATGTGAATTATATTCAGATTTATGCTTTTAAATATCGTAACTTTTATTATGGTTTGCATCCATGTAAGGTAACAACCGGAAGAAATATATATATTTTTCAGCAATGTGATATTTTTATTCTAAATATATCGAAAATAAATGGAGGAAAAGGCATCAAAATTCTTATCAATCTTATTCTTTACCCCCCACCCGCCTGAAAAAAAATCTGCTATTTAATCCTAATTTAGAATGTAAGGTTAAGCCTTCTATCAAAAACCAACTTAAAAGCAATTTCTGAATAAAAAACAAAACGTAAAACATTAAAGAAAAGTTATTGTATGAGAAATAGAAAATTATCTATTTTTTTGTCTTTGATTTTGAGAAGGACATGAAACTTGGATTCCATTGCAACAAAACCATGCTAGGTAAGGGAAAAACAAAGTTTGAAGAGAAAACAAGAAAAACACCTTAATGTTTCAAATAGAGTTTTATAACGGATTTCAGATTGGATGTTTATCTCCACGGTTTTTGATAGATTCATTTTTTAGATTTAAAAAAAAAAAAAAAAATGTTCTATGTTCGAACAAATTCAGAAGGAAAGAAAGTTCGAATTGAAAGCAAACATATCCAGTAACAAGCATATTATTGACTGGTTGAAAACGTTTTATATTCCTGGGACTTTCATGCCGTTGGGTCTACGAAAGATTTCATTCTAAAGAAATTTTCAGATCCTTTTCTGAAAAAGACATTCCTTTTTTGGTTGTCTTAAATCTTTTTTTAAATTTATCTTTTCTTCCATTTTCACCATTTGTTCCAGAAGTGTAATGATTCAAATATGAAAGGACCTCCTGTTAGTTTACCATCAGCATAAGGAAATAATAGCTTATTTTTATGCCGTTTGTTATGTTTCGGTAAGGCGGGAAATAATTGTATCGGATAGCTACATAGTTTACGATTGAATCGTTTATTTCCTGTTTGTACTTCATATTTATAGTTTAATATCGTTTATTCGTATTTCGGATTCAAGTAAACAAATAAGCCATGCTTGTTTCGTCCAATTTGTAGGGCCGGGGCCTGCCTTGTATATTTTTCCGGAATGTGAGATTTTTCCCACTTTTACAAAATATATTCATTTTATCATGGCCAAAGTGGTGAAAAGCAATGTATTGAAAAAATACATTATGCGTGCGTCCCTGTATTGAAAAATTAAACTGTCGAAATGATGAGAAAAATTAACTTTGATTTTAAATAAATATTTTTGCGAATATAGGACATCGTTGCTTTATTTATGAGTTTACAGTTATCAATTTCGCAGAATGATTAAATTATATTCTGCAAATTCATGATGCCCGGTCATCTTGGAACATCTATTATACAGGCTCTATGTTTCTTCTCTATCGACTTCAGTGTCCATCCCTAGATACATATAATTCACAATAGAATAAAAAAAATTCATTATAAAAACGTTGATAGTATAAAAAATAATTAAATATATTAATTACAATTGTATTTAAAAATTAAAATATCTATAATATATATTTTTTTTAAATTTAAACAATCTATAATACTTACATTAATTAATAACAAACGCACTTAACTTAATTTTTTTTTTAAATATAATCCCAAGTGTCTACGTAAACTCCATCAATACGACCTCAAAATCACTCCTGAGGAAAGAGTCACAAAGGTTTTAAAAAAACAATCTTCACCGCGTCTTTACCTTTGCAGTTTCGTTGCCATTAGAATTCCTTCGTTAATGAATTTATCAGACTTATTCAATCACATAAATCTTAAAAGTTGCCTTCCGAGAAAGAAATCAAAACTTCCACTTAACGGATCAAATATAAATAATTTTATTTCAGTTAACCTTCAGCAAATAAAACGTACGCGATTCCCCGTTTTAATTAAAAGGTCCCAGAAGAACATCTGGAGTTACTGACGCAAGTGGAGGCCGTAATCCCTGGAGTCCTACTTTCTCTAATTAGCTGTGCCTAAATACCGTGTACCCATTCGTGTATGTCAGTGTACCGTCTATTTTAAGATGATATGGCTTTAATTAAAGATTTGGCGAATTAAAATAAATATTTATTTCTAATTGCCCAAGGTAAGTGGAGTCCTTTGTGGATGACAGTTATGAATTCTATGCAAAGAACGATGGCGTCGGCGACACTGCTTTCGGATTTCTTTGCTGCCTATTTTCGTTTAATTGATTTACAAAAGTTCATTAGCTATGATGGGAAAAGCTTAAGCAAAAACTTTTTCCAGGAAATTTTCAACATACTTCAGCTAACAACGTTTATATGTTAATCAAATATATTAAAAATCTATATTTAGGATGAATTAATTAAGAAATTTGGCATAACTCTTTAGTTCTACTAAAGCAAAGACTGTATGAATGCTGCCATGAATTTCTTTGTTTTCAGTTTCATTTAATTGAATTACCAATATTAGGAAGATGATTCTAATAGAGAACATTTCAAAATATTTTTCATAAAATTTTCGACGTAATTTTTGTTAATAGCATTTATTTAATAATCAATTACATTACAATTTTCTTTTTTTCTTAGAATAAAATGATTAAGTTGAATTTGCACTGATTTTTTGTTTTTTATTTTACAGAAATAGTGTATCAATTGAGAAATATTTGTTTTATTTCCATTATAAAATAAATTTATTTCGTAAAAGTATAGTAAATATCACGGGCCGGAATAATTTTCAAGGTCGGCCACCCCTGCTCTGTTTACTTATAAAAGTTGTATACCTAATGTAATGAATTAAGGCGAAATCCAATCTTTAAATTTATATAACTTTGATATGTGTAAGAAATATAAAGCTAAATTTATTGAAACAGCATACGCAAGGAAATAAAAAAGTAAATGATTAATTATAATGATTAATTAAATTATTTTCATATTTATGCTTTGAAATATCCTATCTTTTATTCTGGTTTGCAACAATTTACGGTAGCAACATTTATATATTTCAGCAATGTGATATTTTTATTCTAAATATATCAAAAATAAATGTATGAAAAGGCATCAAAATCAATCTCCCCCCCCCCCCCCAAAAAAAAAGGTTACTATCTAATTCTAATTTAGGATGGTAAGTTGACGTTAGTTAAACCCCTCCATCAAAAACCAACTTAAAACTCTGAATGAAAAAAAAAAAAAGTAAAGCATTCGCAGAAAAGTTATGGTATGAAAAATACAAAATTATCGATTTTTTTCTCTGATTTTGGGACGGATATGAATCTGGGATCCCATTGCAGCAAAACCATGCAAGGTAAGGGAAAAAACAAGTTTGAATAGAAAGCAAAAAAAGCACCGTAATGTTTCAAATCCAGTTTTATAACGGATTTCAGATCGGAATCCACTTTAAACTCTAGGTGCCGGTCTAATAGGATCGTAGAGCATTGTGGGGGTACTGTTACTCGCATGCGTAACAAATCTTCAAGCTACACGTGCCCCCAGGGTAGTGCTAAATGAGTCACAGCGGTGCAGCCCTTGCTTATGTTAATTATTTAAGCATAATTATTAGCATAAGCATAATAATTTTGCTTATTGGAGCATAAATATTAACTGTCTCTGTATTGCCAGCTGCATTAGCACCATTTTCTGCACCGGCAGCTGAACAACAGCAACATTATGAAATAAAAAAATTTCTTATGCTGAAACCTTTAGCAGGATTTATATTTTATTACGTAACATAAAACCATAGAGGATAAAATACAGTTTATTTATAAAAAGAAACAAATTCCTCATTAGCTTGTATTCTTAGGTTAAAAAAAACAACTTAGTTTTAATTTAAAACTAATTAAATTGAATGAATTACAAACAACGTTTCATTTTTTTTATTTCGATTTAGAACATGATTAATTAAAATAAAACTCACCAACAGGTTATTCTGAGTTAATTTTTTTCTCATACCACCCAAAAAACCTAAATGCCGAATTGAAAACAAAAAAAAATTGAATTACAATTCTTACTTTGCAAAAAACACACTGCTGTCTCTATATATAATGAGTTTTCTTAAGTCCTTAAATTTCAATTTATCGTAACACGGAAATTAAAGGAAAACCCAGAGCATAAAAACGAAGCTTATTGGTAATCAAGAAAACAAGATAGTGAAAAAAAAATTGTTTTTCCTCCATAAAAAAGTTAATGATCGACTTTAAAC